TATTCATTAAATGGAAGTAGATCACCAAAAAAGTCTTCATCCTTCATCTTCATGCTGAATAGGCTGAGGAGGTGGAGGAAAAGGAGGGTTTGATCATGCTATCTCTGGTGGCAGAGACAGAAGAGGTGGAGGAGGTGGAAAGGGAGGCATTAGAGAGAGGCAGGCACACTCAATGTAACTTTTATTGAGAAAAATTTGCATATAAGTGGACCTGTGCAGTTCAAACCCATGTTGTTCAAGGGCCAGCTGTATAGACTTAGTAGAATTCTGCCTCTAAAGAGCATTTCAAGTCATAGAAATAGATGAAATGACTCAGAGAGAGAATATGAGTGAGAAGAAAGCCAAGCACAGAATCTCAGGGTGGTGGCATGCTTATAAGCAAAACACTGTGTCCCAGAAAGCAAAGAAGAATTGCAATAAAGAGCATAAGGTCAAAAATAAGCAATACAATTGAGAGGTCTTCGAAGACATTAAATGTGCTGTCTTCTCTAAACTGGGCAATTAAGAGGTAATTTAGATCCCAGCAACATGATTTTCAAAGGAGGATAGAGGAAGAGGCTATGTGATAGGTAGTTTAGAGTGAATAGCAAAGGAAGAAAAATGTGATTTTAAAATGTTCTGTGAAATAATATTTTGCTAAGGAAAAAGAAGAAAACAGACTCTGAAATTCATATTTACATTTCTGGACACTTAGTACATGTATATGAAAAGTATTTTATGGGTACTAATGTCTTCATAAATTAATGATTTTCTTATTTTGAAAATTACTTTATGGCATACTTAGATACTATATACACAAGCTAAATATTAACTGTAGCCCACATTAAATCTTGAAATAAAAACCACAATTTTTAGATTTTTATGTGATATCCTGTAAGATTTTAGTTATCGTAAGTCACTATATATCTAAATGGAAGTAAATCTAGTCCTTTTACTCATGAAACAACCAAATTTTTACTCCATAATTCAAGGGTTAATTTTTTTTCCAGAAACTACCAGTGAATAGTCTGATTCTATGTTTCCTTGGTAGCTAAAAGTAAATGCTGCAAATAGCTATATATGGATTCTGATGACATCAGTGTATTTCATTGTATTATACTTTGCTGATTTTACCCTCAGAAAAAAATTCTGAGACACTTTACCTTTTTTTTTCCTGAGGGAGAGATGAACTATCTTTGAAGTGGCTCCACTCAAATGTACTAAGCAGACATAAATCACACACAAGAGATAAGAGTTAAAAAATGGTCCAGGAAAAATAGTGAACTGCTTGTTTCATTAATTTAATATACTACTGGTGAGTCAAAGACCCTTATAGTCTAGACTTCATGTTGTTATTATAGAAAAGTAAAGAGAATCCCTCTGGATCAGGTGAGACAATGAAGTAGTCATGAAATGTCTCCTGATGAGATATTACTGGAAAATACCCTACTGAGACATAAAGAATTGCAATGCTGTGAAATTCTTTACCTTAATAGAGATGAACCTTTGAAGATTTGCAAGGCTTTTGAGGTCTTTTTGCTTTGCGAAAGGATTTAGTTAAGAAGCAATTCTAGAAAAACCAGTGTCCTAGCAGAATTAAGATTTTGGAATTTTAAATACTTATCTATTATTAGAAACCCACAAGTATAATTAAAATAATTTGCTGCCTTTTGAAGATTTCCCATAAAAACACCTAAGCCACATTGAGATGAGCAAATAAGAATAATGCAATCAAAATGATCTCATTTCTCTAACAGGGAAATGTGTAGTTTACTTCAGCAAATATAAAAGACACTAACTTCTTCGGTGAGGGTCAGCAGGTTCTGTGCTTAACAGCTTTCTAAAACATCAAGTGTCTAGGATTTAGAGAGATATATGAAGACAGTAAAACACTCATATATATTACCCCCAACACAGGCTTATTTATTCAATAAATATTAGAGAACTTATAAGAGAGTTAAGGAGAGCTGACAGAAAAAAAAAAAAGATCAATGTATGTGTGGACACACCCACAAACAATATTATTCTCTTATGCCAACAATAGCAAGAATAAAAATAAAATGAGAATGAATATTCATAAATAAAATAATTTTTAAAGGTTCTGTAAGTATGCATATACAAAAATCAACACTATGTGGAAAAAAGTTTTACCTATCAAAAGTTTGTAGGTCTGTTAGACCAGCAGTCCATTTGCAGAAAAGGCAATTGGTCAAACTGCCTCAGGTTTCCTATAAAGCCTTCATGAGGGAAAATTGTGAAAGAAAGTTGTTTTGGTTGGCCTATATTCTGAGGGCAACAGTTGTTGATTAATTCACTATAATGAAGTCCATATATGACAAGTCCACAGCTAACATCATACTGAATGGTGAAAAACTAAAAGTATTTTTGTCTAAGATCAGGAACAAGACAAGGATGCCTCCTCTTACACCAATTCTATTCAACATAGTACTACAAATCCTACCCAAAGAAATTAGGCAATAACAACAGCAAATGCAAATAAAATGCATCCAAATTTTAAAGGAGCAGTAAAATTGTCTCTATTTGAAGATGGCATAATCCTGTATGTAGAAAACTCCCAAAGACTTTACAAATCTGTCAGAACTAATAAAGAAATCAAGCAAACTTGCAGGATACAAATTTAATACATAAAAATCACTTGTGGTTCTATACAGTAACAATGAACTATCTGAAAAGGAAATTAAGAGAACAATCCTATTAACAACATCATTAAAAATGATAAAATACTTAGGAATAAATTTAACTATAAAGATAAAACTTGAACATTGAAAACTATAAAACACTGATGCAAGAAATTAGAGTAGACAAATAAATGGAAAGACATTCCATGTTTATCGAAAAGGATTATATTGTTAAAATGTCCATATTATGCCCAGAAATCAACAGATTCAATGTTATCCCTGTCAAAATCTCAATGGCATTGTTTACAGAAATAGAAAAAAAACAGTACTAAAATTCATCTGGAGCCACAAAAGGCCCTGAATGGCCAAAGTGATTTTGAGAGAGAACCAGGCTGGAGACATCACATTCCCTGATTCCAAAATATATTACAAAGGTACAATAATTGAAACAGTATACTAATATAAAGACAAACACATAGACCAGGGAATAGAATATAGAACCAAGAAATAAACCCGTGCATGTGCAGTCAACTGATCTTTGACAAGAGTGTCAAGATCACACATTGGAGAAAGGGTAGTCTCTCTCAAACTGATGCTCAACATCCACATGCAAAAAAATGAAATAGAACTCCATACTTTGTACTATACACAGAAACCAACTAAAAATGTATTAAACACTAAGTCATGAAACTGTAAAGTTCCTTGAAGAAAGTGGATAAAATTTTCTTGATACTGTTTTTGGTAATGATTTATTGGATTTGACACCAAAAGCACAGGCAGCAAAACCAGAAATAGACACATGAAACGACGTTTAACTAAAAACCTTCTGCACAATGAATTATAGACAATCAACAGAGTAAAAAGACAACATGCAGAATGGGATAAAATATTCTCAAACTATGTGTCTGATAAGAAGATAATATCCAAGCATAATAATTTCCTACAACTCAACAGTAGAAAAACTCATGAGTATCCAGATTTTAAAATGCACAAAGGACTTGAATAGACATTTCTCCAAAGAATATATACACATGGCCACCACATATATGAAAGGGTGTTCAACATCACTAATCATCAGGTAAATTCATGTTGAAATCACAATGAGATATTAAATCAGCCCTATTAGGATGGCGATTATTGAGTTAAAATGTAACAAATTTTGTCAAAGATGTGGAGGAATGGGAATCCTTATATACCCATATAAGGTTGGTGGGAATTTAGAATGGTTTGCCTTTATACAAAACAATAAGGAGGTTTCTCAAAATATTTAAAATTAAAAATACTATATAATCCAGCAATTTCATTTATGGGTTTATGTCCAAAAAAAATTGAAATCAGTCTCACAGAGATATTTTTACTCCCAGGTTCAGTGCAATATTATTCACAATAGCCAAGTTATGGAAAAAAACTAAATGTTTATTAACAGACAGATAAAGAAATTGTGGTAAATACATACAATTGAATATTATTCATTCTTAAAATAAGAAGGACATCCTACCATTTGCAACACAGATATATCTAGAGAACACTATGCTAAGTGAAATAACCCAGTAACAGATAGACAAAGCTTGCAGTATTCCACTTGTATGAGGTGTCTAAAAGAGTCAAATTCATAGATACGAGAGTAGAATGGTGATTTCCAGGGGCTAGGGTTGAGGAAAATGGAAAATTGTTGCCCAGTGGGTACGAAGTTTCAGTTTTGCAATAACAGTACATTCTAGAGACTTGCTGCATAACATAGTACCTAGAGTTAACAATACAGTGTTATGTACATTAAAATAAGTTATAGGAAAGAGCTCCTGTTCTTATCAAACAAACAAAAACAAACAAAACATACACACAACTAAAAGAAACACAAGAAAACTTCTGGAGGTGATGAATATGTTCAGTATCCTGGGTGTTGTGATGGTATCGTGGGTATACACATGTATCTCAATTTATCAAAATGCATACATTAAATGCACGAAAATTTTTGTATATCAGTTATACCTCAATAAAGCTTAAACAAATTAAGCAAATTATTGAGGCATTGTTGACACACCTTTGCTCAATTGGGGAAGGCCAAGACACTATTCACAAGTACAGAGAGTTTACTCTTTTTAGTGCACTTTTTTGTTAATCTCAAGTTCATCTTTTATTTTATTTTTTGGCAGATGATCAAAGTTTTATTTAACATTATAGAACACTTAAAAATAAACAATATGCTTGTCTTTCTGTTGTGTAACTTAGAAAAATGTTTTCAAGCATACATAAAACATCAAATTTTACCCCAAACAATTATGCTATGCAGTCAGTCCCTAACTGCTGGAGTGAGCACTGCTCTCAACAGACAGTTGGGGTAGGAGGTAGGCTGCTGGTGTCCCTGCAGGCAGGTGGCTTTTCCTATTTGGAATGAAGTCTTTTCTTGTTATGGTTCTCAATCGTCCTTCTAAGTACTTCATCCTGGATGAGATTCGACTTTCTTACACCTATGTGACTACAGCCAATTTTAGGGCAACAGGCCTTTTTCTTCTGCTTGTGCTTGGACTCAATAATGCAAACAATGTCTTCCTCTTCATAGGTGTGGCCACACACTTTATTTTTCACTGGCTTCTTCATTTCCAACTGTGTAATGGGGCAGATGAAGTTGGTTTGACTTTGGGTCACAATCATATCTTCATCCACTCCTTCTGTTCCGTCAGCCTCTCTGTCAGCTTGAAGGCCATATTGCTTCTTTAGTTCTTTCAACTGTTGTTTAAACACTAACAATTTTCCATTATTTTGAAAGTCCACATCAGAATTCTTGCTCTGTAAAGCCAAAAATTTCTTCTCCACCAATAATTTTAAATCTGGTATTTTTTCTGGACGTTCTTATTTTACATGATTTATTGTAGATTGAACAGCCTTTACATAATGGTTCAGTTGCCGATCCATTGTAGCAAATTCAACCATCGCCTTGTCCATACTATATTCACTACTCACTTCAGTCTGACTTTCCACAAGATCCAAAGCAACACTAGAAGCTGTGTCCATACCAGAGGTGACACAGGCTTGGAAGTTTTTCCAAGGAGGAGAGAGCAGACTCTACACCACTGAAGGAGATGAAACCAGTTGAACCTGAATTTGAATTGGAAAATCCTGGCATCTTGAAATTATTACCTGGGCCACCAAGCACAGCTGGACTCAATATATGAGGAAGGTAAGCGTTCTCAGTTTTTGGAGGGAGATTACCCTCTTCCAAAAGAGTGCTTGATTCTGGTAGTCCAAGCTGTCTGCGTCTGGTGGCACCCTAAAGCTGACTTTCCTCTGGCAGAACGTCTGCTTCCTATATTTTGTCTTACTCTAACTCAAATAATTATGCTTATCTTGATAAATAGGAAGATTTAATAAGAATTACAGTGGCCAATATGGGAAACTTCTTACATATCAAGAATAATACATTTACGAGGAGCTATGGGGGGGCGGGGAGGAAAACACCTCAGACAAATACCAAGTAATCTATGATTGACTTTCTTCTAGGAAGTCTCCAAGATAGAAATCCTCAACGGCTTTGTAGAAAAATCCAAAGAAAAATACAATCAAACTCCTTCCAAATCTCTGAAGCCTCCCCTTCTTGTACCTCTTTTTCTCTCAGACTTAATTTCCTCATAAATTACACCACTTCTATTCCTTCTGTTTGTTCCTCTAACCTCATAAATAAGAAACATTTTCCTCATGGTATTTCTCAGTAAATAAACAATTGCATTTTAAAAATCCCTTTGCTGGACTAAAAGGCAGGTCTATAGAATTTGTACTTAAACCTTAGTCTAGAGTTCTTAAGAACTATAATTAAGAATCTCCCTAAGCCTCAAAAAAGTAGGTAAAATTTGCTATGCAATTCAATATTTTCTTAGACAATGAATGTCTTGGAGTACTAATTTTTTATCAATTTGTTTTCTTATTACAAGTTGAAAGCAGCAAAGTAGAAAAGAAAGATCAGGAGAAAATCTAAAAATCCCAATATACATATTTCAAAAATTCAGCCTTGAAAAGCCAAGAACATGTAGGAAATACATTATATAATAAGACAGTTAGAAACCCCTTTTTCTTCAGAGTAGATTTGGTGGGGAGTTAGAACAGCAAAATGGCAGAACAGTAGGTCCTCCACTCACATTCCCTTCCAGCAGTAATAATTTGGTAGTTATCCAGAGAAAAACACTTTTTTGTAGAACAATGAAATCCAGGTAGAATGTTGTAAAATCCTTATGAATCCTAAGACCAAAGAGGACTATACTGAGAGATCAGGACTGCACCCTGATGACAGGCTCATTGATGATGATCTTGACTAGGGACCCAGAAACAGCCCCTTCCCTCTGTGGATTCAGTTACAACTCCAATTGGCCTTGGTCCTACCACCAGTGCCATATACTCCAGGAGACCCAGATGGAGCCACACCTTCCCATGCCTCAAGTAACAGGCTACCAACTTGGTTCTGGGAGTGGATCCTGAAGTGGTCCATCACCCAGCTCTATTCTCTCTCAGCTGTGGTCAGGAACAGCCATAAACACCCAGAAATACACCCAGTGACCTAGGGGGAATCTTCTCAGGAAACCTACAGGAGCCAAAACTACACATGAATCTGGTAACAACTCTACCATGTGCAGAGCTAACTGCAGATCTTGAAACTTGTTTCAGTACCAGCTCTACTGGCCAAGGTTCTGAATGCAGTCTTGCCTATTCAAAGATTAAGCAAGATCTGTACCCACCTGAACTCCTGGCCATAGGGCTGTCAACCTCAGATCTAGTAGCAGCCATGTGACCTGGCTCCAACCCCACTCAACCTGGATCCCAAAGGGAATCTCATTAGCCCAAGAAATTGACAGGAGAACGTTTTTTCCTGCTGAAACCCATCTGTAAAGACTAGAAGAGGTGTTTTGCTCCTTAATATACAGACACAAACTCAATGACGCATAAATCATACAGAATCAGACAAACACAACATCACCATAGGAAATCAATAAAGTGTCAATAAACTACCCCAACGAAGCAGAAATGTATACATTACCTAACAAACAATTCTAAAACAATTGTCTTGAGTTCAATGAGATACAAGAGAACACAGATATACAACTAAACAAAATCAGGAAAACAATGCATGAAGACAATGAGAAGTGTAATGAAAAAATAGAAACCCTAAAAAAGAATCAAACAGAGATTCTGGAACTGAAAGATATAATACAACTAAAAATACGAAGGCAGTCTACAAAATGGGAGAAAATATTTTCAAACTATCTGATAAAGGGTTGATATCCAAATTAGGTAATAATCTCCTACATGTCAATAGCAAAAATAGATAAATAATCCTATTAAATAATGGGCAAAGATCCTGAATACGCATTTTTCCAAAGAAGATACACAAACAACTGCCAGCTATCTGAAAATGTTCAACATCACTAATCATCAGGGAAATGCAAATCAAGAATACAATGAAATATCACCTCATACCTATTAGGAAGGTTCTTATCAAAAAAGAAAAGAGACAACAAGTACTGGTAAAGATGTACAGAACAGGGAACCCTTTTACACTGTTGATGGGAATGTAAATTGGTATAGCCATCATAAAAAAAGGTGTGGAGGATACTCAGAAAAAATAAAAATGAAACTACCTTATGAAACAGCAATTCCACTTCTGGATATATAAACAAAGGAAATGAAATACATTTTTCAAAAAGATATTTGCAACCTCATGATTATTGCAACATTCTTCACAATAGCCAAAATATGAAAACAATCTAATTGCACATCAATGAATGATTTTATAAAGAAAATGTTGTTTATACATACAATGGAATAGTATTTAGCCGTAAAAAGGAAGGAAATTCTGTCATTTGTGGCAATATTAATAACACCAGAGAATGGTATGCTAAGTGAAATATGCCAGACACAGAGAGAAAAATACTGTTTGTTCTCACTTGTGTGTGTAATGGTAAAAAGCCAAGCTCATAAAGGCACATACTAGAATGGTGGTTTCCAGGGTTAAGGTTTGGAAGGGGCAAGGTTTGGGTAGATGTTGGTAAAGACTACAAACTTTCAGTTGTAAGATTACTAAGTTCTGGGGATCTAAGGTACAACATAGTGTCTGTCATTAATTATGCTATATTTGATATGTGAAATTTGCTAAGAGAGTAGATCTTAAGTGTTTACACCACAAAAGGAAAACAGTGGTAACTATGTGAGGTGATGGATGTATTAGCTACTTTGATTGTGGCAATCATTCCACTCTCTATATATACTCTGGCTCTCCAGATGAGACAAACACACAAACAAACACAGTCAGAAAGGGCTTTCTATTAACTAAGAACATAAAGCTTATAAGCAAGGATTCTTGTAGATATTGGAAGCAAAAGATCATTGGAAGACTCAATACCTCACATTGATTAAAAAAAAAAAAAAAAAAAAAAAAAACTGTCCAAAGACAATTGATCCAATGGAAACATAAGCACCAGCAATTTTCTGTCTCATTTTAAAGCTCCATCGGGAGATATTTATAATATAAATAGATAATAATATAGCTTTCTTATGGGTACCACGCTACCATCAACTCTATTATTATACTGCAAACCAAATCTCCCAGAGTACTCAAACCACTTAAACTGGGAATTTCTAAGAATCCTAAATTCTTGCCTGTGACTAACTTGTAACTATGAACTCTGGTACCCATATTCTGCAACACGAGTTACATAATTTGTGGGACACAGTGCATAATGAAAATGTGGGGCCCCTGTTCAATAATTATCAGGAATTTTAAGATGATTACAGCAGGGCATTAAACCAAGCATGAGATCCTTGTAACCATGGGGCCCTGTGGCACTGCACAGGTTACATGCCCATGATGGCAGCACGACTCCTCTATGTCATGACTCCTGCAAGTTCAATACATAGAGAATTATTTTGAAAATGGTATTTCCAGATAAAGTGTTCTTCAGTCCCAGAAAATTCTACCCACCATCAAATGATAGCTGATATGTACATTTACATACCTACACTATATATAGTTCAAGAAACACCTAAAAACTTAGTTGTTTCCAGAAACATGTGGGCAAAGAATCTATACATATAAGCACGATAATTAGAGTAAACCTCTGTGTGCCCAGATTAGTCTTCAAAAATTTTGCTAAAGTTTTTCAATACCCTGTTAAGCTGAAGTCAAGGAAGTTTTTGGACCAATTGTATCTATGGACAGCGGACTCATCATTCATTCAGCCCCAGCAATGTGATTGGTGGAGGGTTTATATTGCTTTCAAATTCAATGAGAAATTCACAAAATACTAACTCCTTGTAATTCCTTGCTTCCGAGTAGTACCTCACTCATATTCTTCTCAGTTCCATCTATAGCCAAATTCTTTACAGTAATATATCCATGCTCAGAAATATTTATTAATTTAGTCTCCAAATTGATAAAACATATTCAGTGTTTACTTACATCCTCCAGGGAAAATCAACAGGTCTCCTAGAAAGTTGCATATCAAAGGATTTACTGAAGATATATGTTACTTCTCCCAAATATTGAAATAATGTCTTCACAGTATACAGAGCCCCAGTGGACTCACTCTGATCTAATAAGGAGATAACACCCTGTTACATTCTCTTAATTTGGAAAATCCTAAAATTGATTCTCTATCTAAATTCATCAAGCTGTTTAAAAAGGGATATCAAGCTTCTAAGAAAAAAAAATTCAACACCACAAAACAATTCATTATTCTAGACTATGACCCACCAACTGAAGGCATTATCCAAGAGCAGATTACAAGTTATCCCAAATAACTGATGATCAATAATTAAAGGACAAAGGAATTTCTTGCATCAAACAGATAATCTAGATAACAGGCACCAACATTTTTTCTGAAATAAATAAATGCGCTTTTATATTGACTAAATCAAACATCTTAGAACCACTGCCATAGATTACAGAAACAGAAAGACCTTTAAACAATCTCAAAATGTTCCTTCAACACCCACCTATATGGGTCTACCAAATCATTATAAGTCTTTCTTCTTGTATGTACATGAATGGTTAGGTCATGCTCTAGCTGATTAAGTATGAAAAATGTATATTCTTTACTCATCTTAAACGTGGGTCTATACTCTCAATTAGCAAGTTTAATATCCTTATCTGATGGATAATATGATTATGCTTCTGTAGTTTGATAATTGCTCATTTTCATAGCATATTAGATGTTCCCATACCAAATCCTTATGTAACATTGTGTATTGATGTCTCTTATCTCACAAATGAAAAGGTAAAATACCAGACTGGTTATGAA